TAAGAAGGAAAAAAACGCGCGAGTATGGGGATATTTGGAACATGTACGGGGGAAAACGTGTTTGACGTACTCGACCCGTCAGCGTACATTTCAAATTGCAACGTATATTAACCGACTTGACCGTACCATATTTAACGACTCAAACAGACTAAAACGAACGAGAACGTAACTGCAACGACTTGATGCCCGGATAGTCTGCATATTTCGTGCGAATCCATGTTTTCACTACGAATAAATGACGTGTTACTTGGAAGAGAGCCAACTTCTCTTATGGATTTTTGAATTCTACTCGAGTGTCCACCAATCAGTTGTTTACCTGTGCGGATATTGAAGAATGTGTGCGTTACTTTAGTCGTGCGATTCAATGCATTGAAACATTCATGAGCATTGACCAATGCAACATCTATGAGGTAACAGGCCATGTAGATCCACCAACGATTGTTTTTTCTGCCCGTGTGATAGTATTTTCGCCTTTGGTTAGAACGATCCACGCCACCCATGTGATGTCTGTAACATTGTAACGATACAGGCACGTGTCTCTCGTCATCTACTGCTTCTGCTGACGTAGCCAGTGGGGGATAGACTGTATTTAAAATCAATATTTCCGCGCTGTCGTCCTGGTATGCAGTAATATTGATAGTGTCGTCCGGTCCAGTTGCTGCTTTCATTTCACCAATTTTCAATTTCAGCTTCTTGCTTTTCCCCTCGGGAATTAATTGCGGTGGCATAGTTTTCCGATTTCGTCTGCTAAAACTACCGACCATGTACACTTTCTTTTCTTGTAATTCAAGGGCTGTGTTAACTGACGTAAAAAGCCAATCACAGAAAAGAATATGTTTTTTTTCTGTGAAGGGCTGTAGCAACCGGTGTGTTGTCTTCTTGATTGTCCCAGTTTCTTTCTTTCTCCCCTCAATTGTAGTTTTATATTTCACCCCCAAATATAGTTCAAAGTTTGCAATGGTAAGACGTTGTCGAGTCGCACACCTGCCATATTTTGAAGCCATCACGGTCGGGTTTGTGGAGCAATCTCTGCTTAAACTTGGACCGTCCCTTGAATCTAATCATATCCTCATCAATCAAAAATTCCTGTCCCATCTGGTAGTATCGCCGACAATTTTCGAGTACGGCTTTCAGCCACGGGTTGATTTTATACAACGGGTCGGCCTCTGATCGTTGACGACAACGTTCAATGTCAGGATCACGCCGTGGGTCATTTACTGGATCAGCTAAATGAAAATAACGCATTAGCATTTGAAATCTGGCCCGAGTCATTACTGATGCAATTCCCATATTCTGCAGAAAGGGGTCACTCGACCAATAATCGTCGATTGTTGATTTGTGATCAACACCCATACATATCATCACACCAAAGAATGCTTGCATTTCACTGAAATTTGTATTACGCCAGCGGGCATTTAATTTTTTTGCAATGCATTTTTGATGGT